CGCACACTCCCTCACTCACTCACTCACTCACTCACTCACTCACAGAATGACACTCAGACTCGCACTCACACGCCCACGCCCGCGCGAACTCCCACTCCCACCCCACCACCACCCCTACTCTGAAGAGCTCGGCAGGATCACATTGGGGGATTGACTCAGCTTTGGATCTATCTTCAGAAACTCTCGGAGGACTGCATCTCGACTCTTAGAATTGAACTCATGCTCTCGACGGAACCTCTGCTGGACGACCCTCAACTTCGGAAAGCTCTCTACCCCAAGTATGAAGCCTCGGTGTGGAGGGCTTTTCGTCACACGCTGGCGGTAAATCCCAGGTTCCTATATGCTTCTAGCAGTGAACTATTTATCCTTCGAAGCCTGAAGCCTGACCCTGACACAGTCCGAACTACAGCAGTCCCCCACGGGTTGAGAATCCATTCACTGAAGCCTCGCAGTTAGACCCACCGCCGGCTTGGGGGCTTAGCGTTGCTAGTGGCTCGTCGGAGGCTGGGCCATGAAACCGAGTACACCTGGTCACAGTTCAATTTTGGAATACCATGCTCACATTCGGTGTGGAGGCGAACATTGAGATCTAGTGGCACTTACCCCTTCCGCCTGCAGCGTTACAGGAGTGCGCTTGCCAACGCAGATATCCTGCCCAGGTGACGGACTAGACGCTGGAATTGAGCTTTGGATTAGTGAAGCCGTGGGCTCCGAAGCCTGTGAGTCCCGGTATCTCCCTGACCGAAGGTGAAGGAACTAGAGCTGAATGAGTCAAAAACGAACAGTGATCTAAACGCGGGAAGATAGGACTACATAATCAGTAGGATGGACATTTTGCTGATCAAACCGCAAACATGAACAATCCCAACCTTCGAATCCGCAACGCCAAAGCAATCTCAATTGCTTTTCGAACGTTCTGCGCTGCAAGTTTCGTGGGTTGAGATCGGCAGGTTAAGAGCTGCGGAACTTGTTCGGGCTTGGCTGGCAGGGGAATTCAAGCTGCAATGCACTAGCTTGGTTTGGGGCTCTGGGCAGGCTTGTAGCTTAGCCTTAGGCTTAGGGAGCAATTCGCCCTAGCTGCTGCAATCCCTGGCCGAGTAAGGTTCGAATTTCGATTTCTAGTGTAGGTTTTCCAAAAAAATTATGAACCCAAGAAGGCTGGAACCTGGAACGTACTCTAGGCTTCCCGAAGCGCAGCGAAGCGAAGATTCCGGCTTGTTCGCATTTCCAAAGCTGACCTGAATCTTCCAGACTGGGAGCACCCCAGCCGAAGAGGAGCTCTTCTCCTTGTCCTGCGGAGGGTTGGGCCCCAAGCCCTTTGGGTATAATTTCTTATCGGAGGAGCTGACGATGTAAACCTCAGATCTGCAAAAATTGAAGGATGCTGGCAAGACGAGGTGTGTGCCAGGCTCCACTAGGGCGCTGAGCTTCCACACTGTAAATCTGAAAGCTCAGCACTCGGTCTGGCACCTTCCAGACGATGGACTTGGAGGCCTCATCCCAGCTCACATACCTGGCACTATGACAGGGTTCATGTGCGGTTCAGGCTTCGTTTAGGAATGTGGGGCTTATACGTTTACTTCCGGAGTTGGGCTAAGGGGAGGAGAAAGATGGAATCGGAGCGCAAACGATTGAGATGCGAGGAATGCTGCCGTGTTCCAGGGTGTGGAGATGAAGGGGTCAACCTTAAGTAGAAGAGGGGACAGGTCGCTGAAACTGGAGAAGAAGCAAGGAGTATAGCCACAGCCGCAAGACATACCATGCAAAATAAGAAGTTGCTGAACTGTGTTCCCGTCAGGGTTCCATGATTCAAGGCTTCAGGCTGAGTATATTGAATTTTGGGATTGGAGGCTTTGATGTTTGAGGCTGATGGTCAACTTTCGACCAGGCTTCCCACCACAGCTCGGGCTTTGCTATGCTACGCTAGGGGCCTTAATAATTAGAATAGGGTTTTGGGGCCCATTATACTATACTTACAATAAGGAACCCCCCAAAAGAGTATTGGTAATTATTTAGGCCCGCTTACTACTTTACTTGAGCCTCATGCCCCTATCGTACGAAATTGTGCCGGTCAAGACTGACACGGTCATGCAGCAACGCTCGCCTACTGTGCAGAACGACGACCGCCAATCGGACCGGCACCTCGCAATGCTCTCCTGCAACCCACAACATGCAGCGTGCTGAGTCCCTAAGCCCCTGAAACCCAAACACACTCAACCTAAATCCCATCTTCTGCGCCTGTACTTGGCCCTGCCACTGCGGCACCACCTAGGGATCGGACCCTGCTTGGCAATAAACAAGAAGGTTCGACGAAGGAGGAACACGGACACACACACACACACCCACACCCACACATATATATATATATATACACTCAGAAGCCCGATTACAAAGAAGTGGAGCCGAGGTTTAGCGCTTAGGGTGTCTCTCCGAAAATCTGTGTACGATGGATGCGTTGGATGTGGGGGCCATTCTGGATTCGGCCGTGTTATCTTACCATGATGAGGATCTCAAACAGAAGCCTTGACTTCAACTGCAGCCGTGTAAATGGGAAATCCTCGCATTCCGGCGGTGCCAACAAAAACCGATGCATCGTGGGCAACGTATCCCTCCATGGTCATGGTTCGGTTTCAAAATCCAGCAAAATTCCATGTAAGAACAGTCGGAAGAGGTTGAGCAAACTTGATGCCAGCTTTCGATGTCAGAATCCAAAAGCCGAGGACCTCAACCCAAAAACACTTCCCATCTCAAGTTGTTGTGAAAGCCGAACCGAACCTGGACCCCAGACCCATCTGCCAAAGGGCTTGTAGAAGTAGGCGCCGTCTAAGGGCAGAGGCAGCATGTCGCCAGTCTGCACGGAGCCTCCCGAAATAGAGCTTTTGAGGCTTTCAGGGTTCGCACCTCCGAGCTCAGGGCCTCGTGTTTGGGCTGGGGCTCATTCAAAGGACGTTATGGGTTCTGCTTAGGAGAAGGCTCCCATGTGAGTTCGGCAACAGAACAGCTCCCAGATTGAAGGAGATTCGGACTTCGGAGCGCCTGAAAGAAGACCTCAGAAGCTTCACAAACCCTGACAAGAATCGGGCTTCCCATGCCCTCCGATTCAGCAAACCTGAACACAAATTCGGGAAGCCTCTGTGTAGTCACTGAGTTCAGAAATCTGCTGCCCTGCTGAACCAGTGATCGTCACGAGCGATGACTTCAGGGTAGCATGCAGGAAAGTTGGACCGAATGCGGTCCACAAGTCCATCAACATCCCACAAGCTCTGTCTCACCTTCCAGGCGAAGGAACTCCTGCTGATCAGTCATGCAACGTTTCGGTCGAGCTCAGAGCAACACTCATGCCGGAAATGAATGAAAGCCAGGCGTGCGTGACGAAGTATGCTTGCTCGACAACCGAAGGCTGTTGGCAAAAGCTTGCGATCCAGGTTTACATTATCTCCGTCTTCGAACTATGCCCAATTGCGAGAAGCTGGAGAGCAGCCGACATGCCGCTACCGAGCCCAAGGCGCATGTAGGAGAGCTGGTCTGACGGTCTCGAGCAAGAGTCCGGAGATGTGAGAAGAGCCGTCCAGATGAGAGGCTAATCGGTGGTCAGAGATTCTTTTTTTTGTCACCTCTTTTCCAACTGCCTGAGTTAGTT